AATAAATGCAGTATATTCATAGAGTAGAAAAGCAGTGATTAAAAGGGCATATTTCCGAAGGATTCAGTACATGGGTGAGTGTCAATAAATGTATATCAACTGTCAATCTATATCAAGTCAATCTATATCAAGTGTCAATAAATGTATATCAACTTAAAAGATTGATAACATCATCATAATGTAGTTTTCACTAATATGAAGCTTAAGAACAGATCAGGTAAACTAATTAATGTTGATAGAAATAAAAGCAATGATGCTAGCAAGAACCATGAGAGAATTTTCTAGGTCAATTAAAATGTTCAGATCTTGTTTGGTTACAAGAATCCTTATAGCTGCTAAAATTTGTTGAATCAAATATAGTGTCTGCATTTTAATATAAATTATATCTTAATAGTAATAAAAACTATTCTTTTGGGGCCAGATTGTTGGTACAGTGGGTAGGGTGCTTGCCCTGTATGTGGCTGACCCAGCTGACTCAGCTGACCCTGGCACCCCATATGGTCTGGGGAACCCCACCAAAAGGCAACTCTGAGTGCAGAGACAGGAACAAACCTTGAACACTTCTGAGTGTGGCCCAACACCCCCAAATCCCAAATTCTCTCTCTCTCTCGCTCTCTCTTTCTCTCTCTCTCTCTCTCTCTCTCTCTCTCTCTCTTCCCCCCGCCCCCGGGGGCTCAAACCAAGGGCCTTACCTATACAAAGCATGAGCTCTATCCCTGAACCCCATGTCTCTAGCTCTCTTTGCGCATTTTAATGTGACTTACAATGTTTATTTCTCTCTCAATGCTTTCTCTTGTGGGGGACAGAGATGCTTTTAATCTCATTTTCTGTGGTTGCTGATATTTTAAACTACAGATTCTTCATAGTTGCATTGCTTATGCATTTAAGACACCTGTTGATTTGCAGATAAAATGTTAGAAAAACCAGCCATTCAGAGGAATATCCTTTATTATATTAAAAGATGGAATTTGAAGTGGTGTTTGAGGGTTTACAAACCCTCAGTAGTTCAACTATCTGGACAGAAGTACAAACAGTACACAGACCTTATGTGTTCGCTTTTTTTCGGCTGGCAGTTACATCTGGCGATGCTCAGTGGTTACTCCTGGCTGTGCTTGGAGGACCATATGGGATACAGGGAATTAAACCCATGTTCAAGACAAATGCCCTACCTGTTGTACCGTAGCTCCAGCCCCAACCCTATGTATTTTGTGAATCAAATGAATAGCTCCAAATGATGAGTTTGGATTTGTCAAAGTGGATTACTAAACATTCGGTAATAGGATGTGAGATTAGAGAGGAAGTTAAAGTCAAATCAAATAGGGATAGGGCCTAAGCATCATTAAAAGGGATTTTACTCTACCTGAAAAGGTGTGAGTAACATTGGTGTATTTTTCAAGTCATGAAATTTAATGCTGTAATGGCACTGAATTGGTTAATTAATGGTTATATTGAGAGACTAAAGAGAGGCAAATGTGGAAGCAGGAACATAGGAAAGAGGGATAATGATGGTTTGGATTCTATGGTAAAATGTATTTGTACTTCTGATCACTTCTTTCACATTAGGTATTTCACTCTATTTGAAATATTTTTCTTTTTTCTGTCTTTCACCGTTGAATATTGCTATAATGTATCTAGCATCCATTTTTAGCATTTACTCATAAACTGAGCCAACCCATATGTAAACCAGGTGCTGGACTTTTCTACTTTCTTTATTCGGGCTTATAGAACCTACCTTTCCCACATATATCTGTAAAGGCAAGTATGGGTAAGGGATGCTGGTAAAATCTTGAGTGACACTGGGCTTTTGGGTCTGCTCAAATATACCTGCTGGATGAATAGTTTTTTCTTATTTGGTGTTTCTACTAGATTTAGCCAACTTTATGACTTGGTGAGACTGATAGGATTTAACTTATAATAGGACATTTATATGTCTAATACCTTATTCCATAATGAAGAACTCTGTTGCAACTAGAATTCGGTAACTTGCTGGAAGTCATTTCTTTTCTTTTCTTTTTTTTTTTGGTGGTGGTGGTGGCGGCGGGGATTGGGGGGGGGAGGCGGCTGTCGCAGTGCTCATGGCTTACTCCTGGTTCTGCATGTTGGAATCATTCCTGGTCATGCTTGAGGGTCCATATGGGATGCCAGGGATTGAACCCAGATCAGCCACCTACAAGACAGTTACCCTGTACTCTGTACTACTCTTCAACTTGTGGAAGCCATTTCTTAAAAGTCATATAATTCATTGCTTCCAGTAGCATGACCTTTCTTCAGAACTTGAAGGGACACCATTGTAATTTCCCTACTGGGGCTTGCTCTAAGTTCCATGACACAACTTTTCTCAGGACTGATGTGGATTTTTCCAAGTACCATAGAATATAGTGGCTAAATGAGTAGAGCTCCCTGTCTTGCATTGCTACATAAACCTCTCCCACTTGGAGCCCCACCCAAAGTCCTGCATGCCCCCTGTTATAGGAACAAGAGCAATATTTTTAGATATGAACTGTGTTACCTTTAGAACCCAGAGAAGGGTTATCAGGTGAAAACCTTCTTACCATTAGGAACTAGAAATTTTAGCAATTTGTCTTTTCCTTTGAAGGTGATTTATCTGCATGTTCGTAACCATTCAATTCGAAAATACACACAGAAGAAATAGGTCCCACATCTTTGAATCTATTCTCAAACCTTTGAAGTAGGCTTACCAAGATTTCTCAAAAATTAGTTAACTCTTGTTATACCTCTTAATAAGCATGATTCTGCCAGTAATAGATTAGTGCAATTCTCTGTAGATGACCTCTTTGGAATATGACAAAGAATGAGAAATTATCATATCCCTGAAGGATACAGTAAGTGAAAAATGTTGTCTTTCCCACTAAATGAAAACTAAGAATAGCAATTATTTTTTATTTTATAAAATAGATGCAATGAAAAACAATACATCAGTGGCCACGGGCCATAACCTTATTAATGTATACTCAGAAGGATGTCACATAAATAAGAGCAGTTATATTTACAACTACTGCTTAACTGAACTTTTAGTTCTATGCAGTCCTCAACTTCCCACCTCCCCAAGATCCATCTTAGTTTATGAAAGAGCTGAACTGGAATATTAAATGACCAGTAAGAGTGACACTAAGAATGTCATCAAGAGTGACACTAAGAGTGACATTATTCTGCCATACTCCTATTCCTACCCTGAAATGTATTGTTTTTTAATTTACTGTCTTTTGTGGGGGAAGCGGCATACTTGGTGGTGCTGATGTTTAATCCTGACTCTGTGCTCAGAGCTCACTCCTGGTGGGCTCAGGGGATCATACATGATGTGGATTTCGAACCTGGGTCAATCACTTGCAATGCAAGTGCCTTATCCACTATACTCAGGACTCAATTTACTATCTTGAAAAAGTGGGAATGTAGCAGATTCAGAGATCTGCACCTGGCCTTTCCTTCAGTTTAGCTCTTACCTCATTTGCCAAGAAACCAATGCCAAGTATATAAATTCTACTTGAACAGTTAACTCAACAGTTAGTGAAATGACTGCTCTGTGGGTCTTTAGATTAAATAAACCTATTTGTAATCTAGACTTTCATAAGGACCTCACAGTATTACCTGATAACCACCAAAAGTTTCCAGTCTGGCAGAGATTATAATGTAATTTTGGCTTCATTATTGTTTGTTTGTTGTTTGCATTTGGGCCACACCCAGAGCTGCTCAGAGCTTGCTCCTGACAGACTCGGGGACCATATGTAGTGCTGGAGCTCAAACCAGGATCTGTCACATGAAAGTCAAGCACCTTACCCACTGTACTACCTTGTTTATTTATACTCTATAACAATAATATTCAGATTGCCTGGAATTTTCTTTCTTTGCATTGTGCACTGATCTAAATAAATGGTCAGTCTTCATCATAAACAGCTTTTCCTTTGAAGGACTAAGAATATCAGTTCTTAGATATTTGTGATAGAGTTTGTCGGCCCAGTAAACCAGGCACACCTCTTCAGTCAAGTAATGTTAGATTTGAAAACTGGCTTTAGTATGAGTGATAAGTAGAGGAATATAACTTTCATTAGAGGCGATTGCTTTCAGTGACCTGCTCCTTCATTCTTACCTTTGTGTGTTCAGTTATAGAGGTAGGTAAGTCTTACGTGTGGTCAAAACTCCTTGGCTACATCTCTGATCTAATTGGCCATTATGGTAACTGTAAATTACTGTGTTGACTGCTGTCACCACTTAGCTGTATTACTCCAAGATTTCATCATATACATGGATACTAGCAAACCCTATTTTGTGATGATCTCTTCTACTGTCAGTTTTGATCTGCAGAAAAGACCACCACTAAAATATCTACCAGAGCCTCCTTCACTGCCAACATATTGTCAAAGTAAAGTCACACATGCATAAAAAGTGCTCCAGAGTCAATGAATTCTAGCCTATTAAGTGTTTTGTGTTCTGGACCTGTTGACCGAACCCTTTAAAATGAATCCCAGTGCCATTAATTCCCTTAAGTGGTGTATTCTTATTCTTAACCAAGCACAACATGGCCCCAGACAACTTGTGTTAAAAGTCTTCACTTACCCTCAGTTATCATTTCTGGGGATATCAGCTAGAATGCCTTGAATGACTGAGATAGCCAAGTATATCTTTCTAATCACATGATTGCTTAGTGCTCAGATTGAACCATGGTACGGATGGAGCTATTAGAGTAATTTCACTTCTTCAGTAGGTTGGAGGAAAAGGCTGATTGTGCCAAGAGACTGAGAAGGAAGCAGTATGTTTTCTTATAATCTTATTCTGACCTCATATAGCATATCTTCCTCCAAATCCCATTAGTGACACAAGGCTAACATAGGTTCAGGCTGGGTTGACACTATAAAAAAACTGGAAGATTCTTGGAAATTGGCTCCTACATAACAATATATATGCTGATATACTAATGTAATCTCCAAGTGACTATGATCTTTACAACTTGACAGTCTCTGAGAAATAATCCAGAATATGATCTATAGAAGCAACTCGAGGATTATTATTTTATTTTTACATCCTTTAGCATATAGTTGAGAAACATTTTTCCAGTACTTTTCGTTGGATGTCTTTTAAACCTATTTCAGATACATATTTTACCTTTAAATATTTAATTTCAATTATGAAGAACTTCAATATCTATATACCATAGAACACTTGACAAAAAAGTATCTTTTTTTAAAACAAAAGAAATCTCACAGTTCAAGGAATCTCTACCAATGAAACAACATGTAAATTCTCTTCCTAAAAAGCTGAAAGCCTGTCTTTAAATGTTTTTTTTTTCATGGTTCAACCAGTATTTATTTTAATTCTCTCTAGGTGTGAAATGACCCTTTGAAAAAAAATTATATTAAAATTTTATAGTTATATTTCCTGGTCTAATAGTAATAAACATATATTTTTCTGCCATAACTTTCTTAAAAAATGAAATATGTAGAACATTTTATATTTGTTCATCTTCAACTATTTCTCTTACTCCAGCATTTAAGATAGTCTTTATGCAAAAGTATCCCTGATGGAGATAAAGAAATACTTTTTCCAAAACCACACACATTCCCTCATAAAAATAAAACCAGGAATCTTGGTTTAAGTCTAGTCAGGTCCATTGCTTATAAATTCATTATCATTCTTTAATGTGGTCCAACTACATCTTCCCCATCAACTTGTTGCAATGAAATTCTAGTAAAGCTTTCCCCAAGGAAAGGATGTTATGGTGGTACAGACCTGGTTTGAAACATACTGGCAACACTGATGTCATATTTAGGAACCACAGACTCAGGTTGGACTGTGTTATCTTGAATGACAAGTATCAGCCATCAGCTATATTTGAAATATTGTTAAACTACCTAGAAATAATAAGCATTAAAATTCATTCTGTTCACTGTAACAAATCTCTAATGATTTCATGTCTTCAGTGGAACCAACATACTGTAATTGTTATTTGGAACTTAATGTAACCTCAACAGCAGCAGAGAGACAATACAGTCCTCTCATTATGCACATGCTCTAAGATCGTTTATTTTAATGCTTTCAAATAAATATGTTCCATGCAGCACACCACAGTAAATAAGGAGCAGCAATGTTCTTCTAGTAAATCCATTCATAATGTGAGTCACCATGTAAAACACCACATCTCAAGTCTTTGGCCCTGTACCATATCATGAAGCACACCACATCTGCACCTAATCATATCTGGCTTCATATGGATTTAATAGGACTATGCCAGAAGTGCATGTAAGCACAAATTTAACCAGAGGTTTCCAGCTATTAAATACAGCTACTAAGTAGTTAAAAAAGCAACAACTAAATCCATAAAGGCTTCTCCCTCCGACCCGACCCCCTCAACTTTTGAGACAGAAATATAAAGAGAGAAGTGCTCTGGTGAATTTCAGGTCAGTGGAGAGCAGGGTGAGATACAACATTCATAGTACTTGAGCATAGCTGGCACAGCATAGCACCCAAACTGTGGATATTGGCAATACCGATACTGAATGGACACTGAAGATGAGCAAACTAGAATGCAGACACTGAGCTCTAGAATGTGACGGTGGGAACTGGGATGATGGCAGCCCATTTTCACTAGGCAGATAATTCCACTGTGCCTTCTTCTTCACTATCAGCTCGGTTAGCACGGATCTCCACAAGGGTTCTGGCAAACCGGGTCCATTCATCATTGTGGGGAACGGCAAGCTGCAAAGCAAATTAATAAAAAATGGTGAACAAGAAACCTTTCATGCCTTAAAGCCTTAAGGCCCTCATGACTGTTTCTCCTGAAGTAGATATTCCCTTGGAACGCAAAGGAAACTAGATATTCTTCTTTCAATCTGTTAGATCCCTGAAGCGTTGCTTTTAAACTGACAGCTTAAGAATAATGTCACTCTCAGAAGCAAAATCAGTCATGAAATTTATAAAACTTAAAAAAAATCTAATGTAAACTATACAGTTACAGCACCCACATTAAGGCATATTCAGTAATGACAATTCATTATAAGAAGACCTGACTTAGGCTGGGAATGTGATTTAGTGGTAGATCACTTACCTTGCATGTGCGATTTATAATGAACAAAACAAATGAAATAGGATTATTGACAAGGATTTGAAATAAATGTGGTATTTCTTTCTAAGTAAATTCTATTGATCACTTGTTTTATAGACAGGTTTGGGGATCAAAAGGCTCAGTGCCTAAAGCATTTGCTTGACTTAGAAGAAGCATAGGCTTCTTGCAAGTTTGTTTGAGTTTGATCCCTTATGTCATCATATGTACCAAATGCAATCCTGGCATATCTGATGTCTGAGGTCCCTGCACTCTAAGTGACTTCTGGTCAAACAATAGTAAGATCTGTGCAAGTACTGCAACTAAAGGCAAGCACTGTGGCCCCAAGTATAACCCGTGGTGAACACTAAAGCTAAACATATGAGCACCATAACCAAACATGTATGTAACTACTGGTCATTACAGTGACATCATTAACAGAGGTAGGGGAAGGGGGGAGGATAAATTAAAAGTGCTGTTACTGAATCAATATATATGACAAAAGTATATCTTTAATATGTACAAAGAAATCTTGCTACTAACAATTAATGTTTCCATTTTTCTATCAAGATCTTGATGATGAGGGGCTGGAGTGACAGCACAAACGGGTAGGGCGTTTGCCTTGCACGCAGCTGACCCAGATTTGATTCCCAGCATCCCATATGGTCCCCCAGCACTTCCAGGAGTGATTCCTGAGTGCAGAGCTAAGAGTAACCCCTGTGCATCACCGGGTGTGACCCCGCCCCCCAGAAAGCAAAGATCTTGATGATGATATTTGTAAACAATAGTAGCAGTAGCATTTGCCAAGAGGTTTGTTTATAAATAGTTTGTTTACTTGTTTTTACTTGTTCTTCACAACAATGGTATGTAGGGTAATCCTACTATTTTCATTTTACAGAAGATGAAATTGAGGCACAAAAAGATTAAATTTCCTTCATCTTACCAAGACTGTCTAGATGCCAAATATCAGTGTCAGTATTATCTAGTGTTTGCATTCTTAGCCAGTGTGTTACATTACTTAGCTAAAAGTGGGGGTGGGATATAAAATTTCCTAAGTAATATTTCCTTCTGCACACAATTACTTGGGAAAATGAATTAAACCTAAGCAACACAAACTATATGTGTATATTTTATCAGCTTCTTTAAAGGATAACAATTTATCTACATAGCATCCAAGAATGAATTGCTGAAAGATATACAAGTACTTGGAATAGAAAATAGTTCTCTGATTATGAGAAGCAGGATCAAGTATAAGTCTGAATAGTTTTCATATATATATTAAATTTGGTTACATATTAGAGTCACTTTCTTGAAGGATTACCCTATAAGAGTATGCTATCCTTCTACAGGTACAGTATTACACATGCTGTTCACATATTTTATAAACAGCAATAACATATTGATTATAATCAATCTGCATGCTTAAAATATTTAAGTAGAAAGCAAGTAAATCTAAACTTTGAGATCACTTTAACAGCTAAGGAATAATCTATTCTACACAGCTAAACAGTTACAACTTGAATTTCTTATTACAGGAATTATATATTCAGTCATTATCTGTCGAAGACAAAATACTGGAAGTGGAAATTCCATTCTACCAAGTATATCCTTAAATTAGTATTATAATACTGAGGTTAAATCTTTCAAGAACATAATTCTGGAAATGATGCATAGGTGGAAGAAGTAAGTTATTTTAATAAATGCAGTACCAGTAGAACTCTCATTTAGTCAGATGAATGAGTTTTTGAATGGTTAAATACTTCACGAGTTATTGAAATGAATCTGTTTCCTTTTTTAGGCAGTAATACAAGTTCACAGTTACACTGAATGACATGGTTACCCCTTTGCACAATCCATTTTCTTTACTTTGAGCTCTTTTCTTCTGCTCTACTATTCTTTATTTTTCTTTTCAATTTTAGAAAAGTACTGCAGTGAAGAAATGAGGCCCTCAAAATAAATGAACAAAAGAGTGACAAAAAGCATTAAGCAGCAAAGAGTTGTATCATATTTATATGAAAAACAGGTCCACTCCTTTCTTTTCCAAGTCTTTCTAAAAAGAACTACAAAATAAAAACCCCACAGACAAAGGCCAATTATAATACATTTATAAATTTTTCTCTTATGAAGTGAGAATCAAGCTAAAGCACCTCTAACTTTATATAACTTTAAGAACTGAAAAAAGCAGGTTTTACTTAAATTTCATATATAATTTCAATACCCTATATATAACATAGGTTAGGAATTTGTCTTCTAAACATAACTATATTATTGATTAATGTTATGCAAATTTAAATTATTATATGATGCCATCTGCAATGGCAATGTATCAAAACTGCCCACTAAAACAAGAAAACGGGGCAATATGCTTACATAGTTTTGTTTAGTATAATGGTTAAGACTTAAAATATCAACCCTAAGAATGATTATGAAACATTAGTACTTGAGGATGTATCAGATACCTTTGGAGATACCTTTAGGGTAGCCACATCATTTATGAGATGTAACATTTCCATATAACATTTCAAAAGCAATTTTATAAAATGTAATTGCCTCTGTCCTTTAAAAAATTGTTTTATTTTGTTTGGGGACTCCTCCTGATGATACTCAGGGGCTTCTCCTAGTTTATTGCTTGCTGGGGGGTTGTTCAAAGGCAGCGTCTGGGGATCGTTAGTGGCCAGGATCCTGCATGCAAACTGTGCACTCCTACCTCTTGAGCTCTCTCTCCAGCCCCAAATTTAACTGTTTCTGATAAGCAAAAATACACTACAGTGCAACTACATTTTACCCTTTTCATCAGGGAGGGAAAAATAATACTATATGCTAACACTTGTCCTTAAAACTATACATTCACTCATATGAAAGGTCTTACAAATTTCAGTGTATTGTGCTTTTGTTTTGCATCCATGAAACTTTGATTTAGGTTGAAAAAAATATTAGGAATTTGTTTTTTAAAAAACTTGTCTTGCCAGGTATTTTCTTGCTGTAGAATATCATCAATTCCACAAAAATATTTGCTTTGGTTCACAAAAGAAAACATTCTAGTGTAGAACATGATAAAAAAAAAAAACAACTGCTTAAATTAGCTAGCTCATCTTATTACACTTTTTTCATCTAGTTGACTATAAAAATAACTCAGGATGATTGTAATGTTAGATTTAAAAGGTGAACTACAGACTTCTCCATTTTTAGAATTAAATATCACCATCAGGAAGCACTTTAAGTATAATCTTAGCTTGAATGTGTGAATGTGTATTCACAGGCTGTTTCCACACCCAAAGTAATAATTTTTGGCATTTGAATTACTTGTAGGTAAGACCAAACAGGTGTCCTAACAAACAAGAAGACCACTCTTCATCTTACATCCATGATGTAAATAGCATCTGTTGGACAGAACTACTATCCTTCCCTTTGGCAGTTCCTAATTCTTGTCACTTTGTACTCAACTGATTAGAAATGGCAAGGGGAAATAAAGAAAGAAATGGAGAGAGAGAGAGAGAGAGAGAGAAACTAACTTATGAATATTGATGCATTTGAAACTTACTTAACCCAGTATTTTTAAAAGGTGATTGGTGACTTTTATTATTTAATTCAGTGTTAATTACCAAATCATTAATTAAATAGGGGAATATGTTTTCATGTTTTTTTTTGTAATAAAGAATGAGAATGTAACCAGCATAAAAACTTAATCAGTTTTCACTCATTCAGTCAGCCTGGACTGAGAACCAACAATATCAACCTCTAAGGATTAAAGAGAGAGGTGGATCATTTGGGACTATGAAAAAATACAAATGAATGAACTACATTTTCTTAGGTCAAAACACACAAATATTGGCATAGCTGTTTTCCTCTTTAATACTTTTTTAACTTAAATTTTTAAGACACCATGATTTACAATAATGTTAATTGGTAGGGTTTCATGCATAAAACATTCCAGCACCACACTCTCCAGCTGAGTGTCTGTTTCCCTCTACCATTGTCAAGTGTCCACTCCCACACTTGCAGTCCTATCCCCTCTATATGCCCTCTACTAAAGACCAGTTCTCAGTTTCTCTGCTTTTGTGCATCTTATTTTCTTACTATGTTTCTTTATATCACATATGAGGGAGATTATTGTTTAACTGTCCTCTTTCTAACTTCACTCAGCATAATATTCTCCAAATCCATCCAGATGGCAGAAAATTACATGATTTCATCTTTCCATATAGCCAAGTAATATTCCATTGTGGATACGTACCAAATTCTTTTTATTTTTCAAATTTTATATTAATGAAACACCATGAGGTACAGTGGTAGACTTACAAATTTTTGTGATTGGGTTTCAGTTATAAAAAGATTGAATACGCATCCCTCCACCAGTGCTCATTCTCCACCACCACTGATCCCAGTATCCCTCCCACCCCGCATATCCCCCATCCCACCTTACCTCTGTGGCAGGGCATTCCCTTTTGTTATCTCTCTCCTTTTGAATGCTGTGGTTTGCAAAAGAGACATTGAGTGGCAATCATGTTCGGTCTATAGTCTACTCTCATCACGCATCTCCCATCCTGGGAGGAACCTCCTAACACCCTTTATTTGGTGCTCCCTTTTCTATCTGAGATGCCTTTTCCCCCAGTGTGTGCGGCTGGCCTCAAAGCCATGGAGTAGTCCCCCTGGACGT